CAGCCACATCTGGTTTCAGATTCTGTGTCAAATGTCCCTTTCATCTACAAGTCACTTTCCAAAGTCCAGGGCAGCACTGCCCCAGGATTGCCCCAGGACAGCTGATCTTCCTGGATGAGTCCCCAGTATCCTGCTCCCACTGTACCACTGTGCTGGGGTTTCCCTACAGACACCCTGAACTAGCTGTGTGACCTTGCGTGAGTTATTTACCCCCTCTCTACCTTAATCTCCTTGTTTGTAAAAATGGTAGTGATGAGATTATCACCTGCCACATAAGAGCATTCACGAATTAAATGACCAGAGCTCTTGGAGCCACATCTGGGGCACTTACTAGCAGGTGCTTATGGTTCCTGGTCTCTCCCAGCTTCCCTGAGGCAGGGTCCTGCCTCCTGTTATGCTCCTGCTGTTCCTCCCATCTGGGACACTGGCTTGGCCTTCCATCTCTGCCCATCAGAATCCTCCAGCCCAGCTGCAGTTACCTCCCTTGGGTGGAACTGACCACTCCTCCTCTGGGATCCTATGCTCCCTCCCAGGACAGCTCACAGCCCACCTTGCATTTTCACATGTCCCTCCCCACCAAGAGGCTGGGAGCTTCTTGAAGGCAGACACTGAGTGGGTAGCGCCTGGGCTACACAGTGCAGATAGCATGGGTGTCTGGCTGAGCCAGCTACCTGTCCTGCCATATGCCAGCTTGGAGGCCTGTGTGAATCACGCACTTCTCAGAGCTTCACTCCTGCCACCATAGGGCCTGGATGTTAGCAGTGTCCCCGTGTCTCCCTGTGAACTACAAATGTCACCTAAGCCCAGTCAGTTCCAGGTCTCTGATGCTCTTTGTGCCCTCAGCAAATCTTCCCTTCCCCAGGACCTCATTTCCTTATCCGTAAAATGGTGGCAGTGGTCGAGGGTGAGGGAGGATTCCCTCAATGACCCGGGTTCCTGCCCACAGGAAGAATCCTGATGCCTATGGCCAGAGGAAGGTGGTGGTTTCTCAAAGTTCATGAGGGGCAGCTGGGAGGAGCCTATGCCCCAGGGAGGGGAGACCACCTGCCCAGGCCTCTCCTTACAAACAGGAAGCACCAGAAGACAGGGCTCCCCTCTTGAGTCATCAATTAATTGATAACTCAGTTCCAGAAGGGGCRGGGCCCATGACCTCCAGACTGTTTGCTGGCGGCCCAGCCGCTATCTCCCTGTGTTCCAGTTAATCCCCAAGCCCTCCTAGGGGCCCCTCCCCAGCCCCCATAATCTGTTCCCTGCTGTTTTATCTGCATGGTTCGCTGCTGCTGCCCCTGCCCCAACTCCAGACCTGTGTCCTGTCCTGGACCTTCCCACCCTGGGAGTCTCCTCCACCATCATACTCTCCTCCCCACTGTGCCCTGTCTAACTATCTGCATGCAGCTCTGCAGTGGTAAGGGGGCAAGCCCTGGAAAATCTCCCTAGTGTCCCAAGTGTGTGACCCCACCAGGTGGCTTCCCCACCTCTGGGCCCCCACACCCCAGCACCGGTCTCTTCTAGGACACTTGGACACTTGTGGAGTTATTTACGGCCTGGGCTTATCTCTCCCAACCCAGAGGGCAGCTCCTCCAGCAAGGGGCCGGGTTTCACTTCTCTCTCTCGGCACCCATCTCTGTCCAGTGGGCTGCCCACGGAGAGGAGACCTGACCTTCTCCTATGGCCCCCTGATATTCATACCCAAAGGAACCCCTGCACATGTGCACAGCTGCTGACAGCTCAGAGGTTCTCCCCGAGCCTCTTTTCCCATGGAATCTAAGTGAGCTGAGTCTCCCCTCCTCTGAGGGAGGAAGACACTGAGGCTCTCAGAGGTAGAATGACACTTCCCCAAGGTCACCTAGGCGGAGAGGTCAAGAATGTCGTTGTGTACCTCCAGCTGGGGTCAATAGCCTGAGAAGGAGACGATCTAGAGCCGGCCCCCTTGAGCGAGTGCGCCCCTCGACAAGGATGTCTTGCAGAGGTGTGTGACACCTCGGTGGCTTTTGCGCAAACATCTGCGGGCCAGGACGGGACAATTCCATTGCCCGCTGCGAAAGCCCTTGGAAAGGACGGCATTTTGCAGAGGAGGAAATCGAGGCTAAAGAAGAATGAATTCCTCAGGACCCCCAAGTCATCTTGGACTCCCGGGTCTTGGCAAACTCGACCAATCCAGGAGACCCCTTTAGGCCCTCCCCTGCCCAAAACTCCCGCCCCGGGCCCGTCGGCGTGGAGGTGAGGTCCCTACTTACAGCCACTTGATGCCATAGCACACGCCGGTCTGGAGTGCCAGGGCGAAGAGCAGAGCCTCGCAGACCTGCGGCCGCGCCCTCATCGTCGCGCCGAGGGCACCCCCGGGGGTCGCACCCAGCAGAAGCCGCGCCGAAGTCCCGCCGCCTGCACGGCCACCGCCGCGGGTCCTGAGCGCACGCCGCCTGCAGTCGGGGAGAGGAGAGCGAGGCGGCGGGTTAAGGCGGCGCGCGGACGGGAGGCGTTTTATTCAAATTACAAAGGAGGGGTCGGACCCGGGGAGGCCAAGCGCGCGGCCCGGCCCTGGGACCCGCCAGAGTCTGGCTCGAATTAGGTGCGGCCAGAGCGCGGCCGAGGGCGTGTCCACCTAGCGCAGCGCCGGCCGCCCTGGAAGGGCAGGAGGCTACAGAGTCGCTGGGAGAGACCAGGCGCAGTGACAGCGAGAGGGAGAGACAGGCTCAGAGAACGAGGCTGAAAGCCGTAGAGGGAGAAACTGGACAGACCTACAGACCCCGGGACGGAAACAAGAGGGGTCCCGGCTGGAGACAGCAGCTTCGGGGCCTGGGATCCGGGTTCTTATCGCCGAACTATTGATCAGTAGCTTCTCCCAAATTTACCAACACCTGGCATTCGCCTGGAGTCCTACACAGCCCTTGGCGATTCTCCTGATCCCTTCGGTAAACTGGGGTGATTTGGGCACAGTTCACTTTTTATAAAGAACGTTCTCCGAACACGATAGCCTTTGCTCCTCTCGGCAGCCCATCTCACAGATGAGAAAACTGAGGCCAAGAGATGTGAAACAGGCTGTTCCACTGAGCCGTCTTACTCGGTGTTCTGTTCCCAGGTCTATCAGTGTCCCGTGAGATCAAGCGAGTGAGAAGTCAGGAAATGGGGGCTTGCTCCGGGCATCTGTTTCTGTCTGGGAAGGGGAGGATGAGGAATGGGATGGCCAAGTTCTTTATAAAGCAATAGTGAATCAGGGTCTTGAATCTCCGAGTTCCTATTTGGTGGATCCACTTTGGAGGGCAAGAGAGAGTGAGGTGCGTGGCCAGGCTCCAGGCAGGTCCACGCGGCCTTGGCAGAGCCGSGTAGCTCGCCGAGCCGGCACCATGCTGCCTCACACCGCCAGGCGGCGTCCCAGGGCCGCGCAGCTGCTGCCACCCCGCCCGCTCACAATCCGCAGAGCTGCTTTCTGCGGCTTTCTCCCCCTCTTCATTCTCACCTCATTAACTCCCTTCCCAGCTTCTCCCAAATTTACCAACACCTGGCGTTCGCCTGGAGTCCTACACAGCCCCAGCAGCCCCTTTCCCCTCCGAGGAGCAGAGACAAAGGGATTCCTTTCTAAAGGAATTGCAGAGTTAGAAAAAGGAGGAGCCCGACTGGGGGTGGGGGGTCGCTAGAAGAGAAAGAGTTCTCATCTGGCACGGTGAGCTTGGGCAAAGCCTCAAACACCTCCAGCCTCAGTTTCCCTTTCTGTAAAATCAAGGGACTGAACTTCACACATCTGCTGAGGTCTTTTCAACCTCCCAATCCTCTTTTGAGTCTTTGAGCCTCCCTCTGCCGGTTTCCATTATTACGTATACTTGTGTAGTATGTGCTAGTACATGTGTGCCATAAAGAGATAGAGAGAGAGAGAGAGAGAGAGAGAGAGAGAGAGAGAGAGGAAAGGCAAGGAGAAAACTCCAAATTACGTTTTTTCCTCCTCTACAGAGTCCCCCAGCTAAGCGCCCAGCACAGTGGCGCTCGGTGACAGCAGGGTTATGGGTGTAGCTGAACCCCTCCTTCCACCTAGTCTACATCCGAATCCTTTGTCTTACTAGTCCTGGAAGTTTACCGCACTCCTCCGAACGAGAAAAATATCTGCTGATTGGGGGAGGGGATCAAAATTCCAGTCACCGTCTCTCCTCTCCGCCCCCTGAAGTGTGGGCTCTCCCCCACGGCGCCCAGCATAACTGGGTGGGGAGGGTCCGAGGGCTGCACAAGGAAGAAGGCGCGCAGACTTACAGCGGAGGATCAGTGTCCAGCCCAACTCTCCTAGGGAGAGGAGAGACCGCCCAGGTCACACGGTGCACCGGGACCTAGGCCCGCAGCAACTCTCTGCTCTTTCCGAGTGGCTTCGACAGTTCCAGGTTTCCTCCGGCGCTCCACCTGGTCGCTGGTGGAGGAAGTTTTTGGCCTGGGCCTCTGGGTCCTGACGGATATTCCCGTCCCGTGTAAGAACCTCCAGGACAGCCACACGGGCCGCTGGGTCACCCTCAACCTGAGCCCTGCGGGTCAGAGCGCACTCGCCTCTCSGAGTCCCCGGCCCGCCAGGGGGCGCTAAGCCGGGGTTCAAGGTGGGATCTATTAACTGTCTCCCCAGCGGTGAGACAATTGGGCAATTCTCCTCCTCTTCCTGGGTCCGGGTGTCCTCGTCTGAGGGTRGGATGACGTGTGGAATGAGTCCCCTCTCCGTTCCGGTCTTTCTTTAAGACATCTACGTGCCTTGGTCAGTCCTGATCACTTGCTTCAGGCCCTGCGCGGAGCCTCGTTAGGGGCCAGGCGCGTAGTAGTGCGCTCGCATTGAAGTGSGGGGTCTGCAGAGACAGAGGTCCTTTCCTCCCTCTTCCTGGAGAATAGGTCCAAGCTACCCAACCTGCAGCAGGTGGAGAAGGGGGCCGCCAMGGCTGTGCACTCGCTGGACACCGTGAGCGTAGTGCCGACAACAGGTGGTCATGTCTCCTGCCGTGGAGGTCTCTGGAAACCTCGCCTCTAGGGCAGCCTACGCTCTGAGCTTAAGGAGGCGAGGATTTGCATAGCCTCCCTTACCCCGACACGCCGRTGCTGGGCCCGGAGCGAGCGCCGCGACCAGGGCCAGTGTCCACGCTGCACGGAAGGTCCGCACTGGCGGGTCCAGCCTCGGGTAGTGCAGCCCTCAAAGTGGACCGGGTGAGCCACGACTTCAAGGTTACCTGGAGAAGTGTAGCAAGGCAGCAACCGCCACCGGGCTTTTACCCCAGTCCCGAGTGTTTCTGGATATGTCTGCTCAGCTGCGGCCGCTGCGCAGCGTCACTGCGGAGATTCGGTGTTTTGGAAGTGAAGAGGAGGGTGGGGAGCTTGGGATCCCTACCCTGGAGCTCGACTTTGCGTACCCCAGGTCCATGAGGGACCCGGAAACACCGCAGCGCCGGGTATGGGGGTTGTGGCGGGAGGTGTGGGCTCCTGCGCGAACTCAGCCAGATGTTCGGGGTGGCTCCAGATGTGCCGCGGGGCAGGGGTCAGGTCTCTCCTCCTCCCCAACCCCCATCCTGGAACTCAGGTCTGTAAACAAACTCGGTTTTTGCCTTACCCCGGTTGCCTTTGGAAGTTCTCAAAACAAAGGCATCCGTCCCCCATCCTCCAATTTGGTAGGAGCTGCCGAATTTCTCTGCCTTTTGCTACCCTCTCCCGCCTCGCACACACTCCCTTTGCCGAGGGATCCAAGTCCCCCACCCCCGGGATGGCTCGGGCATGACCTCATCAGCAGGCTGACTAGAAGGGAGGGGGTCGAGTCCCGGAGTGGGGGACAGGGCCAGGAAAGGTCCGTGAGGGCCCTAGGAACTGCGCAGCCCACCCCATCCCGCAACCACTCTCAAGTCAGGTACCGAAGCTGCGCTGCGCAAGCGGAATTCCTAGGACTGCCGCGGAAGAGAGGTATGGAGGACATGCTGTGCTTGCCCGGGAATGGGTGCCCAAGGGGGTCGTGGCGGGTGCTAGAAGAGCGGTCCCCTCGGACTCGGGCGCCCCCAGCCTTAGAAGATCCCCGCTGAGTGTCTGCCGGCTGCCCACAACCACTGCTCACCTCTCAGGGAGCTCTCCGTGCGCGCCCTGCGTGCCCCGCTGTCCAGATGGGTCTCCAGCGGCGAGCGCGGCCCCTAGTGGACCCGAGCGCACTTCGGCAGGCGAGCAGCGAGGACACCCTCACTGTGGAGCGGCTGGAGAAGATTGCAGAGGATACCCGCAAACGGAGATCGGTTGGCGTGCAGCACGAACCGTGGCGCGGAGCCGAGCTGCTTTCCGCTGGGCTCAGCGCCTGGGCCCTGCACTCATTTGCTCGCTGGAGCTCTCCCCTTCGCCGGGCGCGATCTGCAGCGCGGGCCGCCCCAAACTGCTTTATAAGGCGCGGGCAGCCTCTTTGATCCGCCCACGTCAGCGCGCCGAACCCCACCGGGTGGCTCCGGCGGCGCGCTGGGGGCGGGGGCGGGGTCCCTGCGGATGCTAGGGACTCGCGCCGCCGCCGGCGGCTCGAAAAGACTTCGCGGCCCGTTGAGGTACAAAAGGGGTCTTGCTCATCACAGCTAGCGTTTACTAAGCGTGACCGCTGCGTGCCTACTGAGTGCCAGCCGAGCGCCGGGCCCAGGTAAGGCCCATCTCCAATCCTCGCAGAAACCCGGCAAAGGAACTTCGACCCCAGACAAAGTCCATCTTAGGTCCCAGTCTGGAACTCCAGCATCACTAAGGTGCTCATCTCGCAGCTTGGCTGCTGATGACGTCCGCGGTCTTGAGACTCTGGCTGGTGTCCAGGTCCTGGTCATCTCTTTAGGCCTCTGGAACCAGTTAAATGATCCTGCTCTCCCAGGAGAAAAGAGGCGCCATGACTCTGCTCTGCAAGGGTGTTTTAAACCAATACCAGAATGTGCTCAAGGATAATCTAGCTCATTAGTAGAAAGGAAAATGGACTTGTCTCCCCCCCCCCCCATGCTCTTTTCCTCATTCTTTCCAGCTGCCCAATACCTGGCCACAGGTACCTCCACATGCAACACACACCTGGGCCTACAATGTCTATAGCAAACTCCCAGCCAAACAAATACTACCCCAGTTCTACAGCCAGTCCCTCTTTCCACACAGGGCTGAGACACATTACCACAAATGGTTACAGGTTCACTACGTGGGAGATGCTTAGACACATCATATGCCCACACACACTCAGGAGCACACAGGTGTGAAGTGGCTGTACTCATGTCATTAGGATGAGGCTGAATCTATAGACCACCCCCAACCAGTTCAGGCACAAACACAAGTTTCCACACATGCAGTCAGAACTCACACATAGCTCTCAAGCATGCAGAACTAAATGCACACCTACTCCTGCACACAGTCATGGGGATATCCTTGTGAACACATCCCCATCTCCCATCCCAGAGCACTGGGGTCAATCTCATTACAAAAGAAGTGGGAAAATAGTGGGGCTTTGGGTGGCGTATTTAGGAGGTAAAGGAGGAGCAAGGCTATTGCCCCTGAGAGGTTGGCAACAAAGTTCTTTGGGGGCTCAAGAATGTCCTTAGCTCCCCTGCCCCTGTATTTTGGCCACCATGATCAACTGGTGAGAACCATTCCAGGTGGCCTGTCTGATTAGGATGCACTCTGTCTGCTCAGTTGAGAAGCTAAGTCAGTAGCCCCCACACATTGGTAAGGAGCGCTTCTGCCAAAAATCCCCTTCTGGTTCCCAGCTGGAGTAAAAACTGAAAACAATCATAATATAGACTTTGGGTTCCAATATAGATTTTGTCTGATTTTATTTTTAGGTGTGTGATATTCAGCAAGTTGTATAAATTCCTGGAGACTTATAATACAATCCCACAAAATGTTCTATGTCCTCCATAACTAAGATTAGTATTCCCATTGCACAGACTTGAAAGCTGAGACTCAAAGAGGAAGTGCTGACAACTGTAGGAATGGGAATTAGAAGCCAGATCCCTCCAGCCCAGAGTCTACTGCAGCTGTGGCTCACAGTGAACAAAGGGGAAGAGGAATAATGACTTTCTATGGTCTCATGGCAGTTTAGGGAGGCTAGGAGATGGTCCCAGAACTTCTGAAGCCCAAGCCTGACCCCTCCTAGCCCTTCCCAGCTCCCCAGTTAGTCTAGTTGATGAAGATCCAGGTTCAGCTAGGGCTGGAAACCCTGTCCTGGGGGAGGGGGAGGGAGAGAGGGCTATGAGGAAGTGGTCCCAAAAGCTTGGATTGAAAGCCAAAGGGTGGGGGGGGGGCCCACACCTGTAATCCCAACCACTCAGGAGGCCGAGGCAGGAGGATCATGAGTTCTAGGTCAGCCTCAGCAATTTAGATAGACTCTGTCTTGAAATAAAAAAATACAAAGGGCTGGGGATGTGGCTCAGTGGTAAAGCACTCCTGGGTTAGATCCCCAATACCAAAAAATAAAAACAAAAAAGGCCAAGGGCACAAGAGCAAGGGTCTGTCCCTCCCTGTACTCCAGTCTCTCCACTGTACAATAGGAGCACTTTAGCAGGAGATTCCCTGAGACATCTGTGAGAGGATTTCTTTTCATCCTTAGAACCCACTGACCTTTCCATTTCCTTTTCCTCCTCCTTCCCTCTGTCCAGCTTTTGCTGTGTGGCAGGCCTGTGCTGGCCACTGGGCTTCAGGCTCCTCTTGGAGGGGAGGAGGTCCAGGAGGGGCAGGGCAGGGCAAGCCCTCTCTTGGCAGTAGCTGCTGTGGGATGAATACCTTCTCCTCCGTCACCCCCAGTGATTCTGGTTATCTGATTGCCCAGTCGTGCTGAGGGCTTCCTGCTAGCCAGAATCTCAGTCCCTGCCTGACTGCCATTGGACATCTTTCCAGCACCGACCCTGCATATGCCCTGCCTAGGGAGGCACCCAGGCTGAAAGGACATGGGGGCGAGGGGGTGAGGGCAGCCATAGTTCCGTTCACCGTGCTGACCTCTATTGACCCCTCTTTCTCCTCAGCTTCCTTCCCTGGAGGCCAAAGCTTCGGTGGAGATGCGGGCAGTTGGCTGTTTTCAGGGGCCCTGGTTGGGGGGCTAGGAGAACTGGCTCTAGTGTGGACCTCTTCCGCTGATTTGCTCTGTGATAGCAGGTAGACTTTTGTTCTCTGAGCTCCAGTCACCTGTCTGTAGGTGAAGGACTGAACTAGAAAGACTCCAAGGGATCTTTTGGCTCAACCCAAGTCTTAGTCTCTGACTCTGACCTGTGTCATAGGATGGGCCATGAATGTGAAAGAAGAAACCTCAGATACACTCCCTCCCCCTTTCCTGACCCTAGGCCCCCCACAAGTACTGGCTTCTGAGAATTAATTTTTTTTTTTCTTTTTGCTACCAGGGATTGAACTCAGGGGCACTTTGCTGAGGCTGGCTTTGAACTCATGATCCTCCTGCCTCAGCCTCCTGAGCCGCTGGGTTATAGATGTGCACTGCTGTGCCTGGCCCATGGGGATATTTTTTGAGAACGTGTTCAGTGGGATATATCATGTTTTTTTTTGTTTTTGTTTTGCAGTACTAGGTATTAAATCCAGGCCTCACACATGCTAGACAAGCACTTTACTACTGAGCCACTTCCCCAGCTCTTTGCTTCTTTTTTCTTCTTTCTTTCTTTCTTTTTTTTTAGATGGACACAATATCTTTATTTTCATTTATTTTTTTATTTTTTATGTGGCGCTGAAGATCGAACCCAGGGCCTCACGTGGGTGACACAAGCGCTCTATCACTGAGCTACAACCCCAGCCCTTTTCTTTTTTGCTACCAAGGATTGAACTCAGGGGCACTTGACCACTGAGCCACATCCCCAGCCCTATTTTGTATTTTATTGAGAGACAGGGCCTCACTGAGTTGCTTAGCGCCTCAATTTTACTGAGGCTGGCTTTGAACTCATGATCCTCCTGCCTCAGCCTCCTAAGCCACTGGGATTACATATGTGCGCCACTGAGCCTGGCTCCCAGAAGCATTTTTAAAGAACCCTGATCTTGGTCCTGGACAAAACTGGCAGAAGCCCTCATCACCACCTCCCAGGTGGACAGAGAGAGACTGAAGGGTGTGGTTCCCAGCACCAGAGTGCTTTGAGAAAGGCCTGCCCGTGAAGCCAGATGAACAGGGTCTGAGCAGAGCAGCCCAGCCCACTGTCTCTATGATACCAGATGGTCCAGGCAAGGGGCAGGGAGAGGGACTAAACAGTAACAGGTGTGCCATCAGAGCTTCTGGGCCTGGGTTCAGATTTACATCCTCTGTTTAAGCATTTGGGACTCCAGGGATGGAGATGTCACTGGGCAGCTAGAATCCTTGTCTCATCCTTAGCACAATAGGAAAATCACTAACTCCTTCCCTCCCCGTGTTACTGGGAGATAACAGGATAAGGAAGCTCCCCCGTGTGCTGGCAGGTCCTGCGTGCAGGCATTGCTCTGTGGCTGAGCTGACYGAGCCCCAGGCCTGCTGGGTAGCGTGTGCAAGATCCCTCAGCCCTTGAGTGAGCTCAGCTGCATGCCCAGGTCTGTGGGCAGGTCCTCCTCCTCAGGGACCTCAGGGGAGGTATTGTTATTTTACTGCGCTCTGGAGCAGCCTGGGGCAGGGGCTGGTGGAGAGGTTTCTTTCCTGGGTGCACATAACAAAACACCACCCGTCATGTCTGCTGAGGGCGTCACTTCTGAAAGGCTGCTTTCAGCTCTTGGGTGTTTAATCTTGGTGGTGGTGGCTGCTCAGGAGACAATGTTTGTGTTTCTCTGTCTTCTTTCAGCTCCAGGAGAGAAACCTCACTGCAATTGACTTAAACACAAGAACTGCTAACCGGCTGTTCCTCTGCAGCAGACATCAGGGTGGCCGGTGACCTGAAGGTAGAGCCGGGCTTGCCAGGGCCTCCAGAACACCATGTGTCTAATACTCATTTTAGTTTCTTGCTGATCTCGAGCCCATCTGGCTGGGCTCCTCACTGGGGTCACATCAACCTGCCCCAAAAGTCCCAGTTAGAAATTCCATTCAGAGGAGACCTGTCTTCTGGGTTCTCTGCATCAGTCCCTGGGAAGGGGCTGATTGGCTCCTTAAGTCACATGTCCTCCCTTTGAGTGACAGAGGATATTGCCATGGGGCACTGCCCTGGGAATTGCCAGGGGTTTCCTGTTACCAGAAGATAAGGAATAGAAAGCAATGGGTCACTGAGGGTGTGTCTGGGTGGTGGCTTCTTCTATGATTGGACTTCTACTTCTCTGATTTGAACACAAGTCAGTGTCTCTGTGCCTAGAAGAAGAGGGGAAATGTCATCCAAGTTTTGCCCCTGCCCCCATGCACAGGGCCGGAGACCACCATGCCCAGTGCCCTCACTGTACACACAGAGGTTGCAGTAGGCAGGGAAATTAGGTTCCTGACACCCAGCCTGGAAGCCCTGCAGTCATTTGTCACTGGCTCTAAACCCTTTCTAGGGAGGCCAGTGAGATAGCTTTTTAACATCACTGATATCTCCCATCCCAGGACACACAGAACGT